GTGGGGACAACCTGGAGGTGGGGACAACCTGGAAAAGCTGGAGGTGGGGACAACCTGGAGGCGGGGACACCAAGGTGAGCACAACCTGGAGGTGGGGACAACCTGGAGGTGGGGACAATCTGGTGGTGGGGACACCAAGAGTGGGGACAACCTGGAGGTGGGGACAACCTGGAAAACCTGGAGGTGGGGACATCAGGGGTGGGGACAACCTGGAGAACCTGGAGGTGGGGACAACCTGGAGGTGGGGACACCAAGAGTGGGGACAACCTGGAGAAGCTGGAGGTGGGGACAACCTGGAGATGGGGACAACCTGGAGGTGGGGACAACCTGGAGGCGGGGACACCAAGGTGAGGACAACCTGGAGGTGGGGAGAACCTGGAGAACCTGAAGGTGGGGACATCAGGGGTGGGAACAACCTGGAGAACCTGGAGGTGGGGACAACCTGGAGGCGGGGACAACCTGGAGGTGGAGGTGGGGACAACCCCAAGGGTGGTACCTCGCCCTCGGGCTCCAGGAAGGACCACCCCCCCTGCTCGAAGAAGCCCTCGGGGTCATCCACGATGGTCTTCATGATCTTGGTCCAGTTGAGGGACTGGACGCCCTCCGTGTACTTGAGGTCACAGGAACTGGAAGAGGAAGAGGTGGGTGAGCGGCGAGGGGGCGTGGCCAAAGGGGGGTGTGGCCAAATGGGGCGGGGCCTACTTGAGCCACTCCTTGATGGGGTCGAGGGAGGCGACGGGGATGGCGTTGATCATGGTGACCTTCTTGCTGTAGTCTTTGTAGACGATGACCATGTCGAAGTTCTTCAGGTGGAACTGGACCCGTTCGAAGTGGATGAGCTCCACCTCGTCCAAGGTGACCACGAAAGGGGGCTGAGGTGGGGCGGGACGGAGAAGACGTCAAGTGGGGCAGCCCCCCAAGAGGCTGAAGATTTCTTCCCCCCCTCCACCCGCCGTCCCCCCCCCCCAAAAATCAACGTTCTACCATGACTTACCCACTCGGTGCAGTTGACCAAGGCGCTGCTGGTGGGTTGGAGAAGGCAGGTGCTGCGGTACGGGGCGCCATTGAACCTGCCGGGAGTCAAGGCGGGAGGACATCCGCCCCCCCCAAAAAAGGTGAGGTGAGCTCAAAAAAAGGTGAGGAGAACTCAAAAAAAGGTGAGGAGAACTCAAAAAAGGTGAGGAGAACTCAAAAAAGGTGAGGAGAACTCAAAAAGACGTGAGGAGAACTCAAAAAAGGTGAGGAGAACTCAAAAAAGGTGAGGAGAACTCAAAAAAGGTGAGGAGAACTCAAAAAGACTGAGGAGAACTCAAAAAGACGTGAGGAGAACTCAAAAAACGGTGAGGAGAACTCAAAAAAGGTGAGGAGAACTCAAAAAAGGTGAGGAGAACTCAAAAAAGGTGAGGAGAACTCAAAAAAGGTGAGGAGAACTCAAAAAAGGTGAGGAGAACTCAAAAAGACATGAGGAGAACTCAAAAAAGGTTAGGAGAACTCAAAAAACGGTGAGGAGAACTCAAAACACGTGAGGAGAACTCAAAAAGACGTGAGGAGAGCTCCAAAAACCACGAAGAAACCTCAAAAAACCACACAGAGACCTCAAAAAACCATGAGGAAACCTCAAAAAACCCCAAAGAGACCTCCAAAACCCATGAGGAGACGCCACAATCCATGAGGAGACCCCAAAAAACCTTGAAGAGAGCCCAAAAAACCACGAGGAGATCCCAAAAACCCCCGAGGAGCCCCCCAAAAACCACGAGGATCCCCCCAAAAAACACGAGGAGCCCCCAAAAAACACGAGGAGACCCCAAAAAACACGAGGAGACCCCAAAAAACCATGAGGATCCCCCAAAAAACCATGAGGACGTCCCAAAAAACCTCGAAGACACCCTGAAAAACCACGAGGAGCCCCCAAAAAACCCCCGCGGAGATCCAAAAAACCACGAGGAGACCCCCAAAACCCCCGAGGAGACCCCAAAAAACCCCGAGGAACCCCCAAAAACCCCACGGAGACCCCAAAAAACCTCGAAGAACCCCCTGAGAAGACCCCAAAAAAAGCCCCGAGGGAGACCTTCTCCACCAGAAGAAGCCCTCGAGATGGTCTCTGACTCACCCCAACTCCCGGAAGGGCACCTCGAACTCCAACTCCTCCTTGGTGAGGGCTTCAACCTTCTCGATGAAGTTCTTGAAGGCCGTCTTCAGCTTGTGGCGCATCTCCCGTTCCATCTGAGGAGGAGAACCGAGGGGTCAAGCTCCATCCTGGTGGCATCTCAAGAGCTTCCGGGAGGACCTTCTCGGACCCACCTGCTCGGCGTAGAGGTCGTCGCGGTCGTGCATGTGTTGGTGTTTCCCCAAATCGGTGGTGATCTCTCCGACTTCCGTGTAGAACTGGACGTCCGTGTGCCGTTTCTTCCCGAACATGATGGCGTTCTGGAGGTGGAGGACACCAAAGATGTCACCGTCGGCGACGTCCCACCACCACCCCTCCGAGAAGAAACCCAAGGAGCCGATGGGTCTCCACCACCCCCTCCCACCGCCAGAAGAAGACCTTGAGGTGGAAGTGGAGCACGATGATCATCTCCCCGTCGCACGGTTGGAAGACGGCGTGTTTGATGTTGTTGTAGAGGATGTCCACTTTGTCTCCTCTCACCGAGGTGAAGCGGAAACCTGGTGGCGACGGGGGACCGTCAGGAAGACCACCAAAGGTCTTCTAATCCCACCGGGAGGTCCCCACCTCCTCCAACCCGAGGTCGTACCGTTGACGTGGGCCTCCAGAGAACCTTGCATCCTCTTCTGGGCGATGTTGGGACGGATGTAGAGGTCCTTCAACTTGGGGTTGCTCCGGTTGAGGTTGATGACCAAAGAATCTTGTTTGACGATGCCCTGGAGAAGAGCGGGAGACGTCAGGAGGTCCTCTCGACATCTCAGGAGACCTCAGAAGAAACCTCTTCGGGTGGTCCTCACCTCCTTCTCCTTCTCCTCGGCTTCTCGGGTCTTGTAACGTTTTTGGACCTCTTTGATGATGCGAAAAGCGTTTTGGAGGTTGAGGGCCGGGACCGTCTGCTCGCCGGGCGTCTTCATGTTGGAGGCCCTGTAGGTGCTGAGGGGTGGAGAAGGAGGAGAAGAAGTTGAGATGTTCGGGAGGACCTCAAAACCACCCCCCTCGACCCAACTTCTCCATCCCCTCGGGATGTCCTCTCCCGCTTGGCTCACATCTCCTTGACGAAGGTGGCCTCGGGGTTGGGGAAGATGTTGCCCTCGTTGCGTCCCAAAGCGCTGCCCGGGCAGTAGAAGTTGATGCGTAGGTAGGTGTAGTCTCCTTCCACCGACATGCTGATGTTCTACGTGGGGCAGGAGAAGGAAAAAAGGGGAGGTCACCCCAAAAACGAAGGGGTGGAAGAAGGAGGTTGGACCTCAAAAGCTTGGTGGGACCTCAAAATCAGCTTGGGTTGAAGGGGGAAGCCCCAGAACCACCACCAGTTGAAGGTGGAACCCCCAAACCATCTTGGATTGAAGGTGGAACCCCAAAACCACCTTGGGATGAAGCTGGAACACCAAAACCACCACCAGTTGAAGGTGGAACCGCAAAAACCATCTTGGATTGAAGGTCGAACCAAAACCATCTTGGATTGAAAAGGGGGAACCCTAAAACCACCACCAGTTGAAGGTGGAACCGCAAAAACCATCTTGGATTGAAGGTGGAACCCCAAAACCATCTTGGATTGAAAGTGGAACCCCAAAAACCACCTTGGGATGAAGGTGGAACCCCAAAACCATGACCAGTTGAAGGTGGAACCCCAAAACCATCTTGGGTTGAAGGTTGGGGAGAAGATTGAAGCCCAAAACAATCCTGGGATGAAGGCGGAACCCCCAAACTACCTCGAGTTGAAGGTGGAACCCCAAAACCACCACCAGTTGAAGGTGGAACCCCAAAATCCACCTTTGGATGAAGGTGGAACCCCAAAACCACCTTCAGTTGAAGGAGGAACCCCCAAACCACCTCGAGTTGAAGGTGGAACCTCAAAATCATCTCCAGTTGAAGAAGGAACCTCAAAACCACCTCGAGTTGAAGGTGGAACCCCAAAACCACCTCCAGTTGAAGAAGGAACCCCAAAATCACCTCGGGTTTAAGGTGGGACCCCACAACCACCTTAAGATGAAGGTGGAACCCCAAAACCACCTCGAGCTGAGGACGGGGAGAAGATCGAACCCCAACCAGCCCTCAGCTCCACCTCCGCACACCCCAGAACCTCCCACCCCCTCATCCCACCACCACCACCGTCGGAGAAGACCTCCAGGAGGTTGTCCCGGAGAAGGTCCCTCACCTTGATGGTGGCGATGTGGAAGGGGGTGGCGATGCCGAAGACGGGCATGATGACCGTCTCGTACTTCTTATCGATGTAGATCTTCATCTCCCGGATGTGGGGCTCTTTGGGCATCAACGCCGGGTTCTTGTAGGAGATGTTGGACTTCCGAGCTCTACCGAGACACGGAGATGACCCAGAGGTCCAACTCCCACCCCCAAAAAAGCGGTGGGATTTGAACCCCAGAAGAAGACCTCTTCGGCCGTTTCGGGAGGTTACTTTTGGATCTGCTGTTCGCCCTTCTGCTCGGTCAACCGTCGGCGGGCTTCTTCGTTGAGTTGGGTGGCCAACTCCTTCTGGTGGGCTCGGCGCTTCTCCTCCGCCGTCAGCTCGTTCTGGGGTGGGGTGGGGACAAGGAGGTCACCTCAAAGGTCACCCAGAAAAAAAAAGGGGTGGAGAATCCATCCAGGCGGACAACCCACACTGGTGGACGACCATCAGCCAGGTGGAGAATCCACCCAGGTGGACCACCGACCCAGGTGGACCACCATAGAGATGGAGAACCCATCCAGGTGGACCACCGACTCAGGTGGACCACCAGCCCAGGTGGACACCCATCCAGGTGGACCACCATAGAGATGGAGAACCCATCAAGGTGGACCACCAACCCAGGTGGACCACCACAGAGGTGGAGAACCCATCCAGGTGGACCACCAACCCAGGTGGACCACCACAGAGATGAAGAACCCACCCAGGTGGACCACCACCTCAGGTGGACCACCAACCCAGGTGTGGAGAACCCATCCAGATGTGGAGAACCCATCCAGGTGGACCACCAACGCAACTGCAGAACCCACCAGGTATGGAGAACCCAACCCAGGTGGACCACCAACCCAGGTGGACAACCCAACCCAGGTGTGGACAACCCACTCCAGATGTTGTCAACCCACCCGCGTCCTCTCCGTCAGCAGAGCCGCCCGAGAGCTGCGCCCGAGAAGATCTTCAGCTTCATCTTTCTCCTCTTCTTCTTCCTCCTCATCTTCGTTCTTCGTTTCGGGGACGAAAACCCAAAAACGGGAAGTTTGAAAACCAAATTACGGCTCTAAAAATGGGCTTTTTGGGTTTTGGGTTTTTTTTTGCCCAAAATCGTGGAATTTCACCCCGCGGTGGTGTCACCTTGAGGAAGATGCCGACGTTCTTGACCTTCTTCTTGACGGCGGTGAGGACGGTGGCTGGACCCTCCTGGAGATGGAAGAGGATGAGGGAGGAAAGACCTCGTTGACCACGATGAGGAAGTCCCTGAGGTGCCACCACACCCCAGGAGGTCCCATCCCACCCCAGGAGGTCCCATCCCACCTCAGAAGATTCCATTCCACCTCAGGAGGTCCCACCACACCTCAAGAGGTTCCACCTCAGGAGGTCCCATCCCACCCCAGAAGGTCCCCCCACACCTCAGGAGGTCCCATCCCACCCCAGAAGGTCCCACCCCACCCCAGGAGGTCCCCCCACACCTCAGGAGGGCCCATCCCACCCCAGAAGGTCCCACCCCACCCCAGGAGGTCCCATCCCACCTCAGGAGGTCTCACCGCACCTCAAGAGGTTCCACCTCAGGAGGTCCCACCCCACCCCAGAAGGTCCCCCCACACCCCAGGAGGTCCCATCCCACCTCAGAAGATTCCATCCCACCTCAGGAGGTTCCACCTCAGGCGGTCCCATCCCACCCAGGAGGTCCCATCCCACCCAGGAGGTCCCACCCCACCCCAGGAGGTCCCATCCCCTCACCTCGTCCACCAGGACGGTGTCCCCGATGAACATGGCGTAGGTCTTCTCCTCCGGCTTCTTGCCCTCCTTGTTGGGCAGGTCGGAGAAGCCAACGTTGATGCTGAAGACCATACCTGGAGGCGGAGAGAAGGTTTTTGGGGTGGAAAAGGACAATTTTGGGTCAGGAGAAGAAGTTAGGCGGGGGCGGAGAACATTTTGGGGCGGCAGGACAAAATTTCGAGGTGGTGGGACCAAATTTTGGGGAGAAGACGACAATTTTGGGGCGGTAGGAGGAAATTTTGGGTGGTGGGACAAAATTTTGGGGCGGAAGAGGCCAATTTTGAGGTGGTGGGACAAAATTTGGGGGCGGAAGGTGACAATTTTGGGGCGATGGGACAAATTTTGGGGCGGCGGGCCAAAATTTTGGGGTGGAAGAAGACGTTTTTGAGATGGTGGGACAAATTTTGAGGCGGTGGGACGAAATTTTGAGGTGGAAGAGGAGAATTTTGAGGTTGAGGGAGAAAAATCTGGGGTGGAAGAGGACGATTTTAGGGTGGAAGAGGACAATTTTGGGCGGCGGGCCAAAATTTTGGGGTGGAAGGGGACAATTTTGAGATGGTGGGCCAAATTTTGGAAGCGAAGAGGACGATTTTGGGGTGGAAGAGGACCGTTTTGGGGTGGTGGGCCAAATTTTGGATGGTGGGCCAAGTTTGGAGTGAAAGAGACCACTTTTTGGGTGGAAGAGGCCCTCCTTTGGGTGGAGGAGGACCTTTTTGGGGTGAAAAAGGTGGATTTTGGGGCGGAAGAGGTTGATTTGAGGTGGGGTGAAGTTCTCCTCACCCTTCTTCAGCCGGTGTTGGTTCTTGCTGTTGATGACCAAGGAACCCTCCCTGAATTCGATGCCCATGGCAAAGCTGGGGAGATACGGACAGACGGCCACCAGGAGGTCCCCAACCTCCTCCCGCCCGCGTGTGGCCCCCCTCAACGTCCCCAAAACCCCTCATCCTCACCCCAAATTCTTGGTGATCTTGCTCAACAACTCCGGTTTCTGCTTCTTCACCAGGTCCATCACGGCGCCGTAGACGTCGCAGAGCTTGGTTCCTGGAAGGGACGAGAAGATGGCGGCCACCAGGTTGGTGGTGGCATCTTGAGGGGCGTGGAGGACTGGAGGAGGAGCGGGACCTCCGGAGAACTTCAAGGGTGGTCCTCACCGTGTCTCATCTCCTTCAACATCTCCTCCTGGAGCTGGAGGAGGAAGGAGTAGTGGTCCTGCATCTCCTGAGGTGGGTCCACCATCAAGGTCCTCACCAGGTTGGAGCAGTAGGACTTGTAGCGGATGCCCATGGCGCAGGTGATGGCCCCAAAGTGCATGTGGTTCTTGTCACTACGGGGTGGGGACACCAAAACGTGAGGGAGGGACACGTCGAGGTGGTGTCCCACCACCCCGCGGGGACAATTTGGGGCGGTTTTTGGGGAGAAAACGGGGGAAATCGGCCAAATTTAGGGGGGTTTTGGAGGGGAATTGCCCCATTTTGGGCTTTTTTTGAGGGAAATTTGACCCCCCCCAACGTTTTTGAGGAAAAAAAGGTGGAATTGGTTCTCCTGATTTACTTTTGGGGGGGAACTGACCCTCCTCAGGTGTCTTTTGGGGAGAAAAAGGGGGAAATTGGCCAATTTTTTTTTTTTTTTTGGAGAGTACCTGCTTTGTGGGGTTTTTTTGAGGGAAATTGCCCCAATTTGGGCTTTTTTTTTTGAGGGAAATTTGACCCCCCCCGGATGCTTTTTGAGGGAAAAAAGGTCAAATTGGTCCCCCTCGATTCTTTTTGGGGGGGAATTGACCTTCCCACCACCGTTTTTGGGGAGAAAAAGGGGAAAATTGGCCAAACTGGTGGGTTTTTTGAGGGAAATTACCCCTTTTTGGCCTCATATTAAGGGAAATTTGACCACCCCCCGATGTTTTTTGAGGAAAAAAAGGTGGAATTGGTTCTCCTGATTTACTTTTGGGGGGGGGAACTGACCCTCCTCAGGTGTCTTTTGGGGAGAAAAAGGGAGAAATTGGCCAAATTGGGCTTTTTTTTGAGAGAGGAATTGTGCTCCTTGGGCTTTTCTTTGAGGGAAATTGCCCCATTTTGGGCTTTTTTGAGGGAAATTTGACCCCCCCCGGATGCTTTTTGAGGAAAAAAAGGTCAAATTGGTCCCCCTCGACTTTTTGTGGGGGGGAAATGACCCTCTCAACGCCATTTTTTGGGGAGAAAAAGGGGGAATTTGGCCAAATTGTAGGTTTTCTTGAGGGAAATTGCCCCACTTGGGGCTTTTTTTGAGGGAAATTTGACCCACCCCTGGAGGTTTTTTGAGGAAAAAAAGGTGGAATTGGTTCTCCTGATTTACTTTTCGGGGGGGAACTGACCCTCCTCAGGTGTCTTTTGGGGAGAAAAAGGGAGAAATTGGCCAAATTTGGCTCTTTTTTTGAGAGAGGAATTGTGCTCCTTCAGCTTTTCTTTGAGGGAAATTGCCCTATTTGGGGCTTTTTTTGAGAGAAATTTGACCCCCTGCGACGTTTTTTTGAGGAAAAAAAGGTGGAATTGGTCTCCCTCAACTTTTTTAGGAGGAGAATTGACCCCCCCACTGCCTTTTTTGGGGGAAAAAAAGGGGGAAATTGAACAAATTTAGCTTTTTTTTTTTTTGAGGGAAATTGCCCCATTTTGGGCCTTTTTTGAGGGAAATTTGACCTCTCCCGGATGTTTTTTGAGGGAAAAAAGGTGGAATTGGTCCCATTCAACTTTTTTAGGGGGGGAACTGACCCCTCCCACCGGCTTTTTTGGGGAGAAAAAGGGGGAAATTGGTCCAATTGGGCGCTTCTTTTTGGGGAAATTGCCCAATTTGTGCTTTTTTTCTGAGGGAAATTGCCCCATTTGGGGCTTTTTCGGAGGAAAATTTAACCCCTCCCGGATTTTTTTTTGAGGGAAAAAAAGTGGAATTGGTCCCCCTGATTTTTTTGGGCTTTTTTGGGGGACAAAAAAGGGGGAAATTGGCCAATTTGCGCCTTTTTTTTTTTTAGGTGAATTGCCCACTTTGTGCTTTTTTATGAGAGAAATTAACCTATTTTGGCATTTTTTGAAGGAAATCGGTCTGCCCCCGGATGTTTTCTGAGGAAAAAAAGGTGAAATTGGTCCTTCTCAACACTTTTTTGGGGGGAACTGACCCCTCTCGGCTGTTTTTGGGGGAGAAAAAGGGGGAAATTGGCCAAATTGGGCTTTTTTTGAGGGAAATTGTCCTATTTCGGGCTTTTTTTGAGGGAAATTTTAAACCCTCCTAATGTTTTTTGAGGAAAAAAAGATGGAATTCCCCCTCTGAATTTTTTTGGGTGGGGATTTGACCCTCCCACTGGCTTTTTTTGGGGAGAAAAAGCGGGATATTGGCCAAATTGGGCTTTTTTAGGGGGGAAATAGCAGGAAGTCCCCCCCCGTCTCATTTTTGGGGTGAAATAGGGAGAAATTGTCCCATCTGGATTATTTTAGGGCAAATGAGGGGGAAATGAGGGGGAAATTACCCCCCCAGGGCTTTATTTTGGGGAAAACTGACCACTTTTATGGGGTTTTTGGGGAAGAACTGGTGCCTTTGGTGGAAAAAATTGGGGTTTTGGGGCTCAGAATTACGTTTTTTGGGGAAGAATTGGGTATTTTTGGGAAAAAATTTTTTTTTTTGGGATAAGAATTGGGGTTTGGGGGGAAAAATTGGGGTTTTACGGGAAAGAATCGGGGTTTTAAGGGAAAGAATTGCTTTTTGGGGTCAGAAGTGGGTTTTTTGGGTCAGAATTGTTTTTTGGGGGAACAATTGGTTTTTTTTGGGAAGAATTGGGTTTTTTTGGAAAACAATTACGTTTTGGGGGGAATAATTGAGTTTTCAGGGGGAAAAAATGAGTTTTTGGGGTAGGAATTGGGGGTTTT